CGACTATGACGTCAATTCGGCGTTAGTATGGCGTCAATTCTCTTTGAAGCAATGCGGCGCAGACTAAACATTACCATAATCTTATTTAACACGGATTCCGTGTCTTAAAGCGACTTGTTAGCCTCTGTACTGTTAAAAACCTTTAACGAAAAGAAGCTCAAATGTGGGTTGTTCTCTTCATTATCTTAATGCGAACAGTGGCGGCGAATTCCTGATTTTTATGCAAAAAAACAAATAAACAAACAAAAACATCAAATTAAATAATCAAACAGCAAAGCAGAAAATCGAAAATCAACTTGATTTCAGCCATACAAGGGCCGACCAACAGTCAAACAATAAGTGGCCGGCGCAGTATATTTTTCCTTAAAAAGGAGTTAATGGCTATTCTTGACTAAAATTCTATCATGTGTAATGGTTGAACACGATAGCAAAACGCGTTCACCATATTAATAGGCCCTTGGCCGATCGTGCAAAATTGCACGATGACTTTGACCTTTTCGGAAATGCTCGGATTACATCCGATCGCTCTGAAATTTCGGCTGTAGCATGTAAACATTCTAAGCCAATCACATGGCGAACTATCAAACGTGACCTCGGGAGCCCGATCCGAAAATTATTTGCGTACGATTTCAGTCTGCGATAATGGCGTCCGATGAGAAACGCTAGAGATACAGCGTAGCTAAGGCTTTAGAGGTGATTTTTGACGATGGAAGTGAGCATGGTGGTATCTCTAGTGGTGAGGAATCCGAAGTAGATAGAAAACTGGAAAATCCTAGCGAAGAATCGAGGTAAGTAATCTGTAAACATTCTTGCGATATTTAAATGCGTGACGCATGTGGTGTTGAAACATTTACTTTTAATTTTCGCGCACGAATCCTTGTTTTTTGCCTTGAGACAAACCTGTAAATGTATATTTGTGAATGAAAAGCAACATATATTATGATTAAACATGATTTTTGAGCGACAGAGAAAATAATCTTCAATGGAATGTTAGAACGCAACTACCTAAATTATCAGCCGATGACAGATATGACGCAGTGTGCGTCCGAACTAAATCAAATAAAATCTTTTATTTTTAAAACGATAGTTGAATATATATCGACCTGTACATTATCTTATATGTTTTGTATGTTTTTTAGATGTGGTTCTACTTGTTACATGCTGAAAATTCACAAAACAAACAAATTATGCTCGAGAATGAGTGGAATGATATAAAATGACAGGTTCCGGTTTCACTTCTGAATTGTTTACTCTTGAAAATACTGGTGGTGCATTGCAAGTGAAAGGCTTTTGAAATATGTTACGCTTTATGTATTTTGAGGTTGATTATCTCATTTGTCCCTGTTTCAAGGCAAAATTTCAGAAGTCAAACAAAGAAATATAGTTCCAATGATTGCACTGTAGACTTCAAGAGGGATTAGTAAATTTGGGCTTGGGGTGATGATAAGATTAGGTCAGACTAATTAGTCAGTATGTCAATCTTCAAACAAAGAACTATAGTTCCAATGGTTGCACTGTAGACTTCAAGAGGGATTAGTAAATTTGGGCATTTCACTTCTGAATTGTTTACTCTTGAAAATACTGGTGGTGCATTGCAAGTGAAAGGCTTTTGATATACGTTGCACTTAATGTATTTTGAGGTTGATTATCTCATTTGTCCCTGTTTCAAGGCAAAATTTCAGAAGTCAAACAAAGAAATATAGTTCCAATGATTGCACTGTAGACTTCAAGAGGGATTAGTAAATTTGGGCTTGGGGTGATGATGAGGTCAGACTAATTAGTCAGTGTGTCAATCAGTGTTCACAAGATATGTGTAACACATCTCAGATTTGTTATCTTCCGACCAATTCTTTATGGAGATGTTGCCCATATAACAAGGAACCTTTTAAGTTAATTTTTGCCTCATTACTTTGTATTATTTGGGTATCACTTAATTCACAGTTCAAATTTAGATGATATTTTATGCTAATTAATGTTAGTTTGAAAGCATTCAATGAGGTTGTTTCCTTTTTCTTGGAGAGGAAACATGCATTTCAGGAAAGCTTATTTACTGCTGTTTCAAGTGAGGTATAGCGTACTTCCCTTGTTTAAATACTTGGTGAGGAATAAATTTTTCAATAATCTGGGTCAATTTTTTATGGTTTTGGGGTACAGTTTGGAAAAAAATTCTAATTAATTCCATATCTGTTCTTTTTCAGCCGGGGTGTCTGAATGTCTTGCCCATAAGATAAGGAATATTTTATCTAAGAAATGTTTCCTTTTAACTCCAATCCATTCAGGCTCAGGCTGTTTCAAAGTCAAAAGTTGTACAATAATTTATGCAAATTGTATGCCATTTTCTTAGCATGATTTAAAATCCATGGATTTTTGGAGGCTAAGTATATTTTTTCTGAAAAGCTAATTTTGTCCTCTTTCAAATGAGATATAGCACTAATCACTAGTGTAAATACTGTTGACAAAAAAAATAAAAGAAAAAAGGTTACCATCATTTGTCATTTTTTTCAGTCGACTATAAAGAGTTATTAATGCCGAAGCGTAGTTAATAATAAGTTTTTCATTGAAGTGGTATTTTTGTTGTATTACGTGCAGTGCTTTTCATCAAACTTGTAAGTAAATATGCTGATTGTTCGTGAGCCTTCTAATTGAGAAAGAGATGTTCAAACAATTACCAAACCAATTCAAAAGCAAATATAATTACATAAAATTATATTTTGCCACTTCAAGGTATGTGAAGCGTGTTTTGAAATTGCTATCATATCAATATCCTTATGTAAACTGCCACGAAAGAGTTGCCCTCTTCGTATTTATCTTGTTTACTATGGACGTCTAATAACTTAGGATTTCTTTGTAAATTGGCAATCTTCAATCCCGTAAAGAAAATTGTTTTTTTTTCTCAAAAGTATCAACATATTTTTTTCAAACAGTGACTCATTGATGAAACACGTCATCGCAAAATAACTTGACCCGAATGCGACTCTTACAAGGTTTTCAAGGGGTTCACTGAATTGTTCCTCGACGTACTTCAAATTTATGAGGTACTTCGGATATATCACGAAAATTGAAAAACACAGATTCCTAAACGCAAAAATGTTTCCTGTGATCTGCTGGTGTCATTTGTCGCCTTAGTCATCCGCAACAATTAAAAGACCGTGTGATCATGTGAAGTACTGTCTTAAAACCGTTGATTATTTAAATTAAATGTATTCAATTGCGTTACAAGATAGAGCCTTGATAATAAATTGAGATACTCATTTTGCGCGATGTATTTCAGCCAATAACTTCGGTATGATAATTATCTTAAAGGTTGATGAAGATCATCCCACTTATGTCTTTGTCTTAAAATACTCAGAATTCTCTGACTTTGGTTGAAGACCTGGAAGTCCTTCATAGTGACTTACGGACTACCTCAAAAAATATTTTGCTGACTTATCATGTTCATGCAATCACTTGTCCATTGTCAAATTTGCATAGAAGAACACGCATTGCTTGAGCTTCTTGCTAATGGCGATGACACGCCTGCAGCAAAGTTTCACTGATGCGCGCTTGCAACGAAACGGCTCTGGGCAATAACGACGTCTAAGCCGAAAACAAAGATCTGTAAAGTACAGTTATACTGAACTTTCGTTGGGCAGTGGAAAAAAGAGGTGCAGGTTTGTTTACTGCTAGCGCCTTCTATAGAAATAATTCATACATGCTGCTTCTAACTCACTGCAAATGAAGTGCTCTCACCTGTTGCAAACCGCTCATCGTTTTCTTCTGGTTCTTTCTCTTTCCTTTGCATCGGTGCAACGGTCTTCGCTGCACCGCGAGAATTGCGCAAAATTACAATAAGCAAGACAACAACCGCTGTTAGCAATGACAGAATGATTGCCAGAATAATGTTTACGCTGATGAATTCCATCGACTTGCTCTTGTATATGCAATCTACAATTCCTTTCCTTGTTCACGTCGAGCGGCTCGAGTGCCGGAAGCTGATATCTATTGTACGAGAGTGTTGACGTCTGGTTGATCTTATAATTGCTCGGTACCTTGAGTCTCTGGGTCGATGCACGAGCGGTCAGTCAGTATTTCACGCGTTTATCTCTGATAGGATGACACCTAAGTTTTCTTTATTATGCTTTGTTTTTTTGAGCAAGCACCTACCATTATGTTCTATCATATAGCTTGAATCACTATAGGAACGAAAACCTCATTGACGTCAAGAGAAAGAATCCTCTTGAATGTTTTACTGAGGGGTCATGTTTTTTTTTTTTTTTTAACAGCATCGGGTAAATATCAGTCGAATAATGAAAATAATGAATGATTTGTTGGATGACACCTAATTTTTCTTTATTATGCTTTGTTTTTTTGAGCAAGCACCTACCATTATGTTCTATCATATAGCTTGAATCACTGTAGGAACGAATACTTCATTGACGTCAAAGAGAAAGAATTCTCTTGAGTATTTTACTGAGGGGTCATGTTTTTTTTTAACAGCGTTGGGTAAATATCAGTCGAATAATGAAAATAATGAATGATTTGTTGAAACTTGTGTAGGTCTAAGCATTTTCTGAACGTCAGTCACGGTGTCGGAAACTGAAACTCATGTCCCTAAAGGAAATGATGTCCCTAAAGCAAATGATCTGAAACGAGACCATAAACTGTATGGTTCTTTGATAAAACTGCCTAGCATTTAAAATGGACCTATATTGCACAGATCATGCGACACCAATTTTCTCTTTTAACAATTATTCCCCTAGCTTATGATGCACATAGCGCAGAAATTTGGGTTCTAATGATACAAATCAAAAATAAGATATGATAAATGGCTCTATTGTAGTTGGTGCTTAACGCTAGCGCCAAATTACTAAGCTGAACATGTGAGTATGAGCTCAAAAACTATTTCCGCATTACGAGTTCAAGGTTCATTCATAATTTTGATAGTTTTGCTTAGATGGAACAAATGTTGTGTTTTGATTGGCTGGAATTAGATGAGGTTATTTCCCCGCTCGGAGCAAAATCTCTGTTGTCATCGTTTGCTTATATAGTTAAGACATCCGTTGTTCACCAGGTCAGTCATGACTGGACATTGGCCTTCAGCCTCAATATTTTCTCATCTCCCTCTTCCCGAAGGTAAGATCAGAAGTTAAATAAAAGAGAAGAAATTGATAAACAGGCCGTTCTCCAACCACTGTCTTTATCGAAAGCTCGGTAAAGCATGTTTAATCTCCAAGTACACCTAATGAATCACATGTACCACTCGTGCATTTGCACTGGTTGCTATTTTGCGATTTATTGTTTGAGTATTTATGTGAACGTTCTCAAATTAAATTGCACGAGTCGTGGGAGGGTGAAGGGTATAAACTCTGTTAGACTTCACGCGTGACCATGTGAACATTGGTACACGAGTCATTCACGCGATCGTACGAGTTGACCATCAACGTTATCACATGAACTTGTTACCACAATTCATAGCCCTGATAGCAGACGAAAACTCGCCTCTTGTGTTGATCCGACTTCACCACTGAAATTTCACGACTGACTGTGTAAATATACGAACTTGCTGTTGTAATATTGACAGCAGTAGCCTGTTTCATTCTGAAAGATAATTCTGTGTTGGCTCAATCGGAATGTACCTTGGTTGAAAACACCTCCGACAAGTGCCGCAGTGCCAATTATATCAAAATCCTGGTTACTTATAAACTATTATGTAAGTTGGTGTATGTGGAAGGACCGTGACGACAAGTGGTGGAAAATCTGTCTTCATGAAACTAACTGTTCTCGAAGCGTTCATGATCTTGGTATTTTTTCGTTCACCTATTGATTAGTCGCAATAGTTAAGGCTCGCTTAAAAGGTCCAATTTGGTTGTTGATGTGCAATATATATTCCGACTTCACTAGTCACAGTAGTTATAGATTATTCTGTAAATCAAGTCGTGGGCTTTTAAGTCGTCGGTTTGTTTTAATGATATATTTGTGGGGCTTAAGAATTATCATTTATCATTATATGGTTATTTGTTTCCTGAGTGTTAAAAAAAAAGAAAATATGTAATCATTTAAACTGTTAGTGATTTTCTCTTTCTTGACTCCTTAGCCAGACCTTAGACTGAGAAAATAATCAATTTAACCATATGTTTGCTTATATAAAAGTCAATGTATCTTAGCCGTTGTGTGATTCAATAAACATGTCACTCAAATGAACGGTTTCTTTCAGGGATATAAGTAATTTTCCTTTGACTAAATAATCCTATGTCACAATTTTCAGATTCTTTTGTTGTTCTCCAAAGGCAAAGGAACACCCTCGAAAGGAGGTGAAAAAAAAATCGGCTCCAGCTGAGTTTTCTATAAGTATACCCTTGATAACTTTACTCATTATACTAAAATCATCTTATTACGAGCAAGACTTCAGTTACTTGGGGACTCCATGACTCATCTTGTTAGGAGTGGAATTAAAAGAATGGTCTTCCTGTTTTGCAAGTGCAATGATCTGCAAATCCTGAACGTCAAAGGGTTGCGGAAAAAAAAAAAGATATAATGGTTGATTTTTAATTAGTTGAACAAAAGTCGGTTAAAGCTAAGTTTTCTAAAAGAATGTCTTAGATAACTTGATTCATTATATGTGGAAATCAACTTAATACGAGGAAGACCTCAGTTGCTTGAGGACTCCACCAGTCATCTGATTAGGAGCGGAATTAAAATAATGGTCTTCCTGTTTTGCAGGTGCAATGATCTGTGAATACTGAACTTCAAGGGGTTGCAGAAAAAAGAGAAGAAATTGTGGCAAACTCTTTCCATTTTCCCATTAGCAGGAAGAACGTGAGATGAAGTCCAATTTTACATTACAGAATTATGGTTGGCTGCACGGTTTCTGTCACCTGAAATGCGATTTGTAAAGAAGACACATTCTTTCGCGTTTTAAAAACCCCTGCTCACAGTTCTATGTTTGGAGTGTTGTCTGCCTCTCAAGTCCTTACTTATGCAAATGCATTTTATTCCTCGGTGGTTAAAAGTTGCGCAAGGTTGGAGTCACTACTTTCATCCGACGAAAACTAGCACGAGGAGTGACTGCGCTATTAATAGTGGTTTTGGCTTGGACGTTAAAAGAATTCAAGGAATTCGAATTTCTTTTCGATAAAAGTATCTTGAAAAGCAGGGGCTTGTGCTCTCAGAGATCTATCAATTTTTTTCGGACCTAGGCTTTGACTAGAGAGAGAATATGTTGTCCATGTTGCATCTTTGATTAGTTACCGATCGAAAAGCGAGGTGTATTATCCAGATTTTTCTACGTTATGGCATGAAAAGATCTGAAGGCTAATTCGGAGAAGAATGGCATTGACGTTTTACATCTACCTGATGTTCAGGAAAAATGGTATAATAAATCAATTTTCAGATATCAGTTACTGTGAAACTCAGAAAGTTAAATACACCAGAAATATTCATAGAAGGTTTTTGCGGTTTTTTTTTGTTTGAAAAGCAATGTCAATTAGATTTCAGAAAACTAAAGCGCGAACAGCAGCGATAATTAATTGTGCTAAACGTCAATTTGACTGACCAATGTATAATTGACCTTTCAGAGTCAAATCAAAGTGTTCACGGTTGCCTGAGTTGCACACAACAGTTTATAAGTTGTAATTTCTCCTTGAAAGAATACAGAATTTTAAGAAATGTACTTTTTAAAATGTATTGCCAGCTCTGAGACAGTCGGTGCAGATCACGATGATTACAGACTCTTTGATCTTATATACGCCGGCACCTTTTCAAAATAGGCCACTGATATTTGCTTTTTAACCAATATTTTCTCCTTTGCTTCTTTGATGGTACAAACAAAATGATGCTTCTCCTTCAGCTTTTTTCATTATGATTTTTTTAAACTTTCATTCGCGTTTTTTTTTTATTTCCCTTTAAAAAAGTTAACCAACGAAGTATGGCAATGTTGTATCACAACTCTTACCAATAGATATTACTTCACTTACACAGTAAGTATATTAATAGATGAGCTTTCAGTGACCAAATAATTCAGGAAATCAAACAAACTAATGTACGTGCGCCCCGACCGAAGCAGAAATGTTTTTGTTGTGTTTACGAGTTGTTTCTGTCTTTTGAAAAGTAATACCATGATGTTTGGTATAAATAATGGACAACGCTAATTTTCACTATCAGAGAAATTATGTCAACTTCCTGCAACAATTCTGTTAGAAGAAATCATTTCAAACTCAGTGGCTCGAATCTCTGTCCAACTGCATCCAAAATATAAGTACCATTATTTTTGCAAGTAACATCTCTTCGTCATGTTTGTGTGTTTGGCCGAACAAACTCCGGTGTCGTCTCAAAAAGGACCTTTTCCCTTTCTTGTCTCGGGTTGTTGGCTCAGCCAGTCGTCAGTATGCAGGGAAGGCTAAGTCTGCTTCCTCTCCGTCTCCGTACAGCTGGATGAAAACAAAACATAAACGTTCAAATATATAAATGGTAAAGACTGCGTTAGCGGGTACTTCTCAGTTTATATTACAGATTGTTTTTTTAAGGCTGGTTTTCAAGTTTGTTCCCAGTCTTTCTCTCTCTTTCCGCTTCCGAGAAGAAGGAAGACACTCGGCACGTCTTAGAAAAGTAGTTAAAAAACGACCCATATTCAGGGGAATGAGAAAGGGTAAGAAAGCTCAATACTGCCGTAAGGAATCAGCCGAAAGACTTAGGGGGGAACAGTCGTCGCTGACAAAAGAGGAGTCTAAAGAGAAATTGAGTTCAAAAGAAGGAAGGGGAAGGGGGGGGGGGGAGAGGAGAGGAATCATTGGAGCATTTTAGAGCCTCATGGTGATCAAGTAAATCTTATATCAAAAGCTTAACCAAAATCTTCCGAAACCCCCTCCCCACCGTAAACAAGTAAAGAAATGCATAACATATAAAGCATATCCTAATTAATACTTCACAAAGAACGAAAAGCAAAAGATATGAAGGGAAGCCTTTTATCATTTCTGGGACAAGTTTGCTAATAAACAACTCCTGTCGTGCATTCCTTAACAAATCTCTCGACTATGACATCAATTCGGCGTTAGTATGGCGTCAATTCTCTTTGAAGCAATGTGGCACAGACTAAATATTACCATAATCTCATTTGACACAGATTCCTTGTCTTAAAGCGACTTGTTAGCCTCTGTACTGTTAAAAACCTTTAACGAAAAGAAGCTCAAATGTGGGTTGTTCTCTTCATTATCTTAATGCGAACAGCGGCGGCGAATTCCTGATTTTTATGCAAAAAAAAAAACAAACAAACAAACAAAAACATCAAATTAAATAATCAAACAGCAAAGCAGAAAATCGAAAATTAACTTGGTTTCAGCCATACAAGGGCCGACTAACAGCCAAACAATAAGTGGCCGGCGCAGTATATTTTCCCTTAAAAAGGAGTTAATGGCTATTCTTGACTAAAATTCTATCGTGTGTAATCATTGAAAATGATAGCAAAACGCGTTCACCATATTAATGCCGAAGCGTAGTTAATCATGAATAAGTTTTTCACTGAAGCGGTATTTTTGTTGTATTAGGTGCAGTGCTCTTCATCTAACTCGTAAGTAAATATGCGGATTGTTCGTGAGCCTTCTAACTGAGAAAGAGATGCTGAAACAGTTGCCAAACCAATTCAAAAGCAAATATAAATACATAAAATTATATTTTGCCACTTCAAGGTACGTGAAACGTGATTGAAATTGCTATCATATCAACATCCTTATATAAACTGTCACGAAAGAGTTGCCCTCTTCATATTTATCTTGTTTACTGTGGACGTCTCCAAACTTGTCATTTCTATGTAGGTTGTAATCTTCCATCCCGTAAAAAAAAAAAAAGAAATAATTGTTTTTTTTTTTCTCAAAAGTGTCAACATATTTTTTCAAACAGTGACTCATTGATGAAACAAGTCCGCGCATCGCAAAAGAGCTTGATCTGAATGCGACACTTAAAAAGGTTTTCGAGGGTTCGTTAATAGTACTTCAAATTTACGAGGTGCTCCAGATATATCACGAAAATTGAAAAACACAGATTCCTAAACGCAAAAATATTTCCTGTGATCTGCTGGTGTCATTAATCTCCTTAAGGCCCGTTTAAACGGTTTCAACATTTGCTTCGACATGCATTCACCG